CACAAGAGAGGAGCTTGGTAGCTATAATACAGCAATTTTCTTTAATGCCACAAGCCAACAACCAACAATGTACCATTCTATTGATTTAAAGGGCCAACATGCCTGATAAGGCATCAGAGGAAAAGGCTAATTTGGCAAAGAAGTTGGCTGAGCAAAGGGCCAAGGGTGTAGAGGGCATCCCTACTACTGCCAAGGTGAGGCACCCAAGAGCATTCATCAACCATGTAAATATATATATTTTTATTTTTATTTTTTTCTTACCTTTCAACTACTTCATTTTCACACATGCAGCTCAAGATAGATGAATTTGAGTCTAATGTCAATGAGATCAAAGACCCTTTCCCTCCAGCGGACTTTCCTGGTAAATCCCAATGCCTCCATACCATATTGTCAATAATCAATAATTCCAAACTCAGAGGTAAGAAAAGCCCCTGCTAATCACTCCCTCTTTCTGTTGACTAGGTGATGATGAGGAGGAGGACCCTGAGATCCCAGAGAGCCCCAGACCTCGTCCAATGGCAGATCTGCAGTTGAAGGAGGAAGCAGTGCCAATGCCTGAAGCCAGCTCATTTTTTATCTTTGGACCTCAGAACAAGTATGATGCTGGTTATTGTTGGTGTTGATGGTAATGATAATTGATGATAAATAAAATGATTGAGGTGGAGCTTCTGGTTACCAGTGGGATGAATATAGATTTGATCAGTTTTATAGATTTCATCAGTCATTGATCAATTTAATAAATGTCAAATAATGTTGACACAAGAATTACAGAATACAACATATTATCACTGCTATATTAGCTGGCCCAAACTGCATGTATCATATTATTATACGTATTAGCATTGTGTTCATTTTAGCACTTTCCTACTGTCACAGTTGCAGGTTGTAATTTGTCAATTTTGACTGCTGCCAAGCTTCAAAAGGGTGGTTCTTATACACCAATCAGCCATAACATTATGATCACTGACTGGTGAAGTGAGTAACACTGATCATCTCGTTATCATGGCACCTGTCAGTGGGTGGGATA